TCAAAGGTTCGTAAACTTCCTGGATCTCAGTCTTGCTTCTTTTGTCTTCAAGTAGTTGCTGATACCACTGTTCGTCGCCTTCCCTCAGTTGAGGTATCTTCTCCTTGATCTGTTTCAGAAACTGCACAGCGTCTTCCAGTTGTGTATTGATGAAAGGAAGCAGGCGGTCTTCGGTAGCAATGACTTTGAGGCATTTACGTGATCTTTTTGACATGTAGCTATATGGATCATCATTGTAGCTTTCCAGTTTAGTTTTATGTTGGGTCATCTTTTTTAATTTGGTACCAAGCTTACTGAGAACTCGAGGAGAACTAACCACCACAGATGCCAAGCCTTGTCGAAGCCATGTTGGCGCGGTACTTTTCCGGGAGTTGCTTTGTGTCACTTCTTCGTCCTGTGAAGCGTCTGCTTCGTTCTCGTCAAGGAAACCTTGTTCTTCTACTTTATGGATTTCCTCTGCCATTACATCGTACTTTTCAATACAATATTGGATCAGCGAAACCTGAGCTCTTGCAAACCCATGTTGGTCATCTTCCCATTGCTGAACAAACTGTTGTGTTCTCTCCGAAATGTACTTTAGTACTTCACTTTTTGTCTCTTGCCATGACGCCGAGGCTGCTGGTACTTTATCCTCAGACCAATCGCAAAACTTCTTGATAATTTCCTCTGATTTGAAGTGCGCCGCTAGCTTTGCTATGATCTCTTCGATTTTTTGTGACTGATGCTGACTCAGTTCACTAAATCTACGTTCCTGAGAGCTTTTTAGTTCCTCCATACGGCTCATCACTCTTTTGATCCTTTTCTCTGTTTCTTGATGTGACATTTSTGCTGACTTCAGTGATATTCTGATTTGACGGGAGACGTGCTCAAGGAGATCGTCAAGCTTTCTGTTGGATAATCACGTTAAAACATGACTTTAATAACTACTTATTAACCGAGAGTGAGGTCTTTAGAGGAGAATCTAATACCGAGACGTTGCTACCAATTCGGCAAGCCCGAGGTTTGAGATTTTCCCGTACAGACAGAACGTTCGAAGTTAATAAGTTGTTTATTATATGGCTTTTTGTTTTGGTTTTGGGGTGCCGTAATAGCCCTTTTCACGGTTAACCTTTCTCATTTGCATTACAATATTATCTAGCATGTATGTGAGGCAATTTCGGGCTATTTTGTAGCTTTAACCGGAAATTGCCTCGCATTCACGTTGGATTACATTGTAATGCAAATGAGAAAAACTAACCGTGAAAAGGGTTATTGACCCGTGTGCATTACGGGAGAATAATGCCCCAGAAATAACGAATCAGAGCGCGCATTGTATCGGTTACTAATACAAGCCATATAACAATGACCTTGAAATTACTTCACAAAATCCCCGTTTTCGAGCTTTCCAAGAAAAAATATCAGAACCAATTTAATTGACGGAAAATATCTGGACCATTTTCATCAGTGAAGCCTGTTACCTCAGATGATATAAGGTAAAGAAGAGAAAACATTCATTTCATGATCAGTTACAATAATTGGAGAGGGCAGTGGCTCATCGAACGCTTAACTTCAGTTTTAGTAGCCGGAAGCTACAAGGTGAATTGCTGAATTAGCACTGGATAAGACGATATAGAGCATCAACGCCAGGGCTGGGGAGGCGCACTGAGAAAATAAAGTGTGTACGTTTTGCCAAAAATGCAACAACTAATCTGCTCAGGGTTTCATGATCAAACTCAATGTTCGAGCACACATGCAAATTATGGAGTAATTAAATTAAATTTATTATTTTATCTTCCTTTTGCATACTTTAATTTCTCACCGGAAATACT